TAAGTGATCGAAACAATAGCGCCATTTGATCAAATTATTTCTCACAATCGAAGCGAAAGCAATCGAGCGGAGGCAGCTCGCCGCGAGGGATTTTCTCGCCGTTAAGAAGTCAGGCCAGAGTCAATGAAACGCTCTCCTTATCCCTGTTGGCCGCGCATGTCTGAGCGGGGTAACTGTTTTCCGTTCTTGCGAAAAGTTAACGGCACGATTTCGCCGGCATCGTACTCCGTTCCCCGTAACAGACGCAAGAACGACCCTCGGGCATCCGTGCGATTTTCGCGCGTACCGTTACGCAACGCCGGCTTAATTTCTCGACGATCGATTTATCGAAGCATTCAATGAACTTCTCCCTTTTTTCCATCCAATCGCGGGCAAAATTTAATTTTCTAAATTATACACCGTTCGATTTGCGAAAGTTCCAAAGAGGAAATAACGCGCGGAGCGAACGACCGTTCGCTTTTCGCACTGACCGATTCTCAGGAATGGGAAAGCAGCCGATAACAATCGGCGTTTTAACAATATCGAATAAACGTTTCATTACCTTCTGGCTATCGCATAGTCACGCTATTGCAGAATCGCGTGGAATTGCGTGTGGTATAAAAACGAGGCAGTGCTCGGCAAACAATATATGTATATGTAGATAGTATTTTCTAGCGATAAATCACATTTTACGGCTTCCACTTTTTCACCGTTCGAATCTCCTGTGCTATTACTGCCATCAACGCATAGCTTACCTCGTTAACCGGTAACCTTGAAGAAAAAAATGATTCGATATTCGAAAAGCGTTTCTTGTTAAAAGACCGAAATCTTCAAGGATTACTGATTTCGAATGAGTACAGAAATTTCGAATGGTATAATTATTGAATTGACTGAAAATTTGCAAGGGAGTGTTCCGAATGTTCATCACCGGCCTCGCAGATTTATCGCGCGCTCGGCTGGCGAGTTAATCGAGGCTGAGAGAGCAGAGACGATTAAGCTCTCGCCGAGCTCTCGAGAACTTTCGCGCTGACGATGATGGACTGCGTGAACTTATTTAGCAAGAACGTTGAATGACCAACTTTGTTTTTTCTCTTCCTCTTGCATTCTTCGCTTCGCAAGCTGCAATACGATGCTATGTAGGACATTAAAGTAAGAACGTATTCGAGGAAGAGATTCGTTTTCTATAATTATTAAATTTCTTCCAAGAAGATTCTTCCTTTTCTCAAAATCTAATAACGAAGAAAAGCTATCAACGTTAGACGCAACCAGAGGGAAAAGAGAGTAAGAAATAATCCGCTCGGCGCCTAGTAACGCAGCGTAAAATTCCAACTTTCACCAGCTATCCAATGCGTGTAGGTAATTCGTAGAAAATTACGGCGATCATTGACCGTTAATTATGAATATGTGAAAAAACTGAATAGACTCGTGTCCTCGATGATTACGGAGTCTCCTTTTCAGTGTTTCCAATCGGTTTATCGTCTCGCGTACGAGGCAAGATTGGCGGCAGGAAACGCGTCGTGATAACGGTATCGAAAGTGTTACGCATACGCAACCGCGAGGCTGGCTCGCGAGGTTATCGCCGTTTGAACGCGAGGACGCGCGACTAGCAACCTCTAATTTACGTCGCCAAGTCGTACGCTAATCAGCGTCCTGCCGCGGAAAATTTATTCTCGCGAGACGAACGGCAGGCGTCGAGAAACGGTTGTTATCGGCTTGCGTCACGGAAGCCGTGTCGCGATTACTCGAGCCGATCTGCTTCGCACAACGAGCGTGTTTCTGCGATTAGTCGGCGGAAATGTCTCAAAACGGATAATAATAAACTAATAATGGCTTTGTACGTTAGCATTCAAGTTTCAGGCATTTTTTATTTTAAATAGCACTTGTGGTTCTTGAAAATCTTCATTTTAATATTATCAGATAATTTGTAAAAATTTTCAAAAATTTCCAAGATGTAAGACCGACGAGCGTAACGATAGGAATTCAGAGACTTGAACGCATGGACGCCTGTTACGCATCGAAGTCACCGTGCGCTCGCTGGCCACGCGTTGAAGTCTTTGCGTAGATTCGTCGCATCTCGCGTGCCGGCATCGAAATCACCGCGCGGCCTGGTTAAACCCGCTCGTGTTCTCGCGTAATGGTCGGCGCGACCGGTTCGCGCGTTTCATTCAGAGAGACGTCGATGTTGCATCTATTCACGTGTACGGCCACAATACATCATAAGCTACCTGTTCGACGGAAGACCGGTCACTGGTCGGCGTTGCCCGCGTTTCAACAGTAAACAGAACCCACTTTTCTTTTATTTACATTCAGTTTACCTGCCACGAATTTCTATCAATTTATTAGAGCACAATTTTATGAATAAAATTAATTTTTTTTTCTTTGAATATCATTAGCTTCGAGATCTTCTTAAATCGAGAAATATAATTTAAGAAACACGATGTTCTACAGGGTTTTCTAATCGATGATAAATGACAGTATCGTCCGCGAGGATAATAACTTGTCGCCAGTTGTTCAGAAGGATGCGCGCAATTACGGGTGACACGACCTACGACAGAATCCGCTTGTAGACTTTTCCACCGAAAGCAGCGCGTGATGCATCTTCTTGCGTTATCTCCAACGCGTCTAAATAAAACGAACGGTTTCGTTCGTTCGAATGATTTTCCTTTGCTGTCCCGGCGATTCCTGGCATTCCTGCTGTCGCGTTTCCGCGAGCTTTTCCACGAGTGCCAGGGGGATTTTACCGTTCGTCGCGTCGTGATGAATAAATGAAATTCCACTGTGGAATGTGTTGATATACCATTCTCTGATATTGCATAATGTATACATTTTTTGGAATTAAAAGAGATAGTAAAATTTCATGGCGAGTAACCGAAAAGTGTTCAGAACGAATAAGGAAAAAAATGTCGAGGTTAGCGGGCGAGAAGCGTCTAAAAACGCGGTCGTAAGCCACTTCCCTTCGAAAACGTAGTCGTTCCTCCTCCTACTTCTTCTTCATCTTCTTCTTCTTCGCTTCGATCCGCCCACGCGGTTGCGTGCAGCCACCCACGCTGGGTAACGTGCACGCGTAACGACCGCGACGACGATTCTCACGGGAAGGCGTGCGTATTCAAATTATATCCGTTCGCGGTCCGCGCCGCTGTCACGAGCCCGATCCCCTAATTACTCCCTGCTAAACATCGCCGTGGTACATACGCTGTCCGCTCGGCGCGGTATAATTCTCCACGCGAGCCACGCACAAGTTTATATATCTCTTTGAAGAACTGATCCCTCTCTAGGCAACTCGTAACCCACAGTGTTTTATTCAAAGGAAGATGGAGTCTCGTACATGAGGATTCATTTCTAATGCCTTTTCCTTTTTCGAATAATATCTTTGCTAGACCAAGATCGTTTCTTCTCTAATAATGGTAATTGAAGAAATAAGCAAAAGTAGGTTTTTAGAAATTTTCTTGATGAACTCTATTCTTATTCTAGATTAATTATTTTGGATAGAAGACGATGAAAATTTGTAGTTTTTCGCGGTCAGACGGTCGTTTTAAAACACTGTGCGACGTAGCCCGAGGCTGTCCTCTCTCGCTGGCTGCCCATTTTTCACGAGTCTCCCTCTCGCTTCGTCTCCTCCTCCTTCTTCCTTCCTCCTCTGTCTTCCTTCCCTTCGACTCGTTTTTTCCTCTTTTAATTCCATTCGTTGCTTTTTCTCTTTTTAATCTCTCTCCCTTGGTGCACGACCAAACAGGGCGACGCGAGAGGAAGGAAAGAGGGAGGAAAGGAGATTTCTTCGTCCCGGTACGCTCATTTTCTCCTCTACCTCTCGTTCCTTCTATCGGTAGAGGAACTCACGCACTCTCTCCTCTCCTCTCAACCTTTTCTTCCCCTCTTCCACAGCTTCTCTGAGAGAGCAGCGCCAGCCGACTGGCCACCTCCCCCTCGCGCCATCCCGAACTTCTCGCTCTTTCGATCCGGAGTCCATCTCCGCTCGTAACCGGCCGCCGCGGCGCGGCAGCGGCAGCAGCAGAAGCCAGCTACGGCAGCTTCGTTCTTCTTTCCCGTCTGCGTCTATATACTCTCTCTTCGAGGCATCGAGCGCAACGGGGAATCAATAGCACGCACGTGTGTTTGTAGTTATATCGGTGCAGCCGCTTCGTCCTCTTCCTTTTGGATTTTCATCCTCGCGCTCCTCTTCCATCCGCCTCTCGCATCTTCCTCTGCAAAGTCTGTACTTTTTTGCCAGCCGTCGAACGAGCCTCGTAGAACGTCCACGAGTAATCTTCTCCTCCTCCTCGTCCTCGTCTTCTTCCTCTTCTTCTTCACGAGTCCTCGATAAAAAGCTTGATAAAAGAGGGAGAACGGTCGCGTCTCCGTTCCTCTGATCGATCGAGCGGAGAACAAAGACCAGGTGAAAGTCGATGGAAATGCCGGTGGAATCTTTAGTCCACGACGAAGCTAATGGGTATAGAATCGTATGGAAAGAGCGAACATCACACGTGGACCAACTATTTCGTTCACCTTGACGGTTCGACCTTAGACTTGGTCGAATGTCCACGGACGTCTCGCGATATCTGGATATCCTTCTCAAGGTGGGAACACGCGGGGAGAAACGCTCCGGGGATCGAACGAGAGAGAGTCGATCGTGGCGGGCTGGAAGAACGAGAGGGAGCCCGGAGAATTACGATAATCTACGTACGCAGTGTCCTCCTCCTTCTTCTCCGTGCTGGACGGCAAACTCCTGGGGATATCCTTCTCAAGGTAGCGGGATGGACGAGGAGAAGGCTTGGTTGAACGTAAAGCGATGAAAGAGGACAGCATAACGAAAGCATAAGATACGTGTGCGTGTACCAGCGTCCTCGTCTTTCGAACGGATCGAAGGGCGAGGTATCCTTGTCAAGGTAGCAGGTAGGACGAGGAACGAAGGAGGGACAATGGTTAGGAAAGACAGAGACGGACCTGGAGACACGATAATGCCGGGTGGCCGAGAGCCCTGGCTGCTTGGCTGCCTGGCTGCCTCGTCGATGACTCGATGCTCTGTTTGTATCCGTGCAGGTCGCCTAAGAGACGATCATCTCGTCTTCGTCGCACTTGAATACCTCCTAACTCGCCCTATCTTTGTCTACCGTTGGCTACCTGCGCGCCGGCTATCCTGTCTCCTGGTCCCCTCTCCTCTCGTCTACCTTTCGCTACCCGCGTCCTCCTTTTCCTCGTCTCGCACCTGGACGAGACTAACCTGAGCCAAGAAACGAACGAAGACGGAGGGATAGACGGAGGCTGTGGAGAAAGCGAGAGGCGAGACGATCCGAGGAGCCGCAGGCACTCTCCTCGCCACCTCTCCACCACGAGTCTTGGTACCTATTGCTGGATTCTCTGACGGAGGAGTGGGAGTACGTCGAGAGAGTGCTACAGGTAGGTGAGCCGAAAGAGGGAGCGAGAGAGAAGTTAGGTGGATGAAAGGAGAAAGAGGGTAAATGGGGAGGCGTCGTAGGGTGGCCAGGTAAGCGAACGAAGAAAGGCACTCGGCTGAAGGGAGATGCAGCGAGGAGATTCGGGAGCGAGGGAGGCTGACACGTAGAAAGAGAGAAGAAGGTTGTGTTAAGAGGAGAAGGAATAAAGATAGGAAGATTGCGCGTGTGTGTATTTGTGTATACGTCGGAGAGAAGAGAAGGGGGTCCGAGACACGGAGCCAAGAGCGGGATGCTGGGAGGCGGCGGCGACGGCGGCCATGTTGCCGTATCCCGAGAGAAGAGAGAACGATCCGAGAGAGCACCGTGAGGCTGCTTCGTTTGTTGCTTGCAGCGGCTGCCCAAACTTTGGGTGGTTTAATTCTACCTGTTGGGCCGCACAGTTCGGGCTAGTGCATCCGTTCCACCCTCGTTCGCTCGGCACCACGAGGTTACAGCAAAACGAGAACTCGAGCCGTGGCATCGACGCGACGTCGGTCGATCGGTCGCGCGTACTACACACGCTCGCGTTCGCCTTCGTCTTCGCGTTCGCGTTCGCGATACCCGGCTACTACGATGTCGTCGCGTTGTTTGCTCGCGTCGTCGTCGTCCAGGTCGTCGTCCATGTGGTCGTCGTCGTCGTCGTCGTCGTTCTTACCCTGGTGCTTCGCGTCGTCGTCCTCGTCCTCGTCCTCGTCATCGTAGTCGGAGTCACCACTCGCGGTCTGCGCGAGCGTGCGCGTGTGCCTGAAGCCGGTGTACAAGTGTGAATCGTGGACAGACGATCCGGTTTGGAAAAACCGTTCCCGGGTATCCTCGTGACTCGTCGAAGAGGGGTGTGCGCGAAAGGAACGATAGCGCTGGTGACTGGTTTACCGGAACGCGACACACGGAATGGACCAGAAACGAGGATAATGAGGTGCGTGAAGTGAATTTTGTGAGTTTCACGGTGCTTTATCTGTCTTCGAACACGAATATTATTAAGCCGATCGTTAGGAAGGACGCGATCGTGCGTCGAACTGTGCGTGAGTCCGGTGGAACAGGGTGCCCTCTGGACAGGGTGCCCTACCAGAAACATCAGTCTCGGACTCGAGGCAAACCGCGAAATCCGCGCTCGCACGGCTCGGTCAATCGCGAAGGTGGTGACACTATCATCCGTTGAGATGTGATCCGGAATACAGGAGGGACGCTTAGTAGTTTGTAGTTGGCCCCCTCCCTCCCCCGACACCCCACCCCACCACATCAGCACCCTTGCAACTTACCACCCACCACATTCTACCACCATCTACCACCTTCCTCTACTGCTCGCCACGTATACGACGCATACATGCGCTTCGCCGATCGTCCATCCATCTTGGAGAATAGCCTGTCGGATGCACCTCAACAACATCCTTTTCGCGACGACACGCTTCCTTTTGTACGTTCTGAAGCTAGCCCCAACAAGTGAGTATCCCGTAGCTCGCCTGCTAACGCGTCGCGGACCTCTTCCTCGCGGATGTTCACCGGCTACCTACGCGATGACGCACAGGTGACGCGCAGGTGACCTGCCGGTGCACCAACAGACGCCGATACGTGGGACCATCCGGTTCGCGGTCGATTATTTCTTCGTACTTTTTGCCTCATCGATTTCTGCGTAACTTTCCACGATCCACCTCAAAGGTGGAAACTACGACGCAACGATTTTCATGTACGCAACGTTGAACTGGAGAAAAAGGTTTCGCGTCGAAGGGAATTATGCGAGTAGAGGCGATCGGTATATACGAGTCGCCAGCCAGCGAAGAGAGTGAATGGAAGACTAGCGAGCGTAATTGGTCCCGGTTAATGGTGTCCGCTAATGGAATCACGCGGCGCGGCGCGGCGCCCCGTATGCAACTCGTTCCACCGGCTTTATATAACGCGTTGTGTCGAGCGACGATAGGCATTTGGAGAACATTCTCGAAACAGCGGTCCGGCGTCGTCGTAGTCGTCGTCATCGTCGTCATCGTCGTCGTCGACACGCACACCGGCTCTCACCTCCCTCTTTTTTCTCTTTTTCTCTTTCTACGCCGCTCCTCCCTGGCCACAGAGACACACGTGCTAATCGCTTTGCCCACGTAGCGTCTCTGAAGGCTCCACCGAACATCAAGGATCTTTCCCACAATCGAAACTCGCCACTAATTCTCACTCCCGAAACACTGCACGGAGAGGACAGCGTACCTCTATAAAGCTGGAACGTTCGCAGGTAGTAAAAAGGAGGAGCGTCGTTGACTTCGCCTCGGCTACGAGAAGGTTTCCTTCGAACCGAGCAAACATCTCGATTCGGAGGCCAAGTTCGAACGGTCGAACGCTCTCCTCTCGTCCCGCACCGATTTCAAACAATGGAACACGCAAGAGAGACTCTATAGCCTCTCCTAAGACGAATGTCCACAGTACCATAGCCACTGAACGATCACTCGGACGAGTTTGTCCGTTTGGCCGACGATCTATTTAGGCCCGAGTGGTGACAGACACCTAACCGTGGAGATGATGAGTTCTCCGGGTGACCGAGTCCCGAGGAGCTCGTTCCTCTTCGCAAAGACTCGTCGAGTCCTCCGTCTCCGGAGGCATCGTCCACTGACGCGAAGCGAGGGAGTACAGGTACTTGAAATACAAACGGACCCACGGAGGTGGGTCCAATCTGATGCAGGGTTCCCTTTGAGAATCAGGTTAGACCGGCCGAACCTGCTCCTCTGGCTTCTCGTCTCCGGCCCGCGGTTGTATACCGGCTTGCTGTACCTACTCCTTCTCCCCGGTCGCCCCAATCTCCTTCTTCCGCGTAGTAGGTAGTCACCAACCTACCTACTTCCCGCCACCCTCTTCGTTGTCTCTCCTCTCCCTCACTCTTCCTCTCTTTCTTTCGTTCCTGTATCAGAGTGCAGCCGGTCCGTCTCGTTCCTCCTCGTCCCGACTGATCTTCGAACTGCTTCACCCTGGCCAACCGGGAAAACCAGAAGGAAACGATCAACTTGGTCCTGGACACCAAACTGGACCAAGTGGAAGCCGATCGAGAGAAACGCGAACCACCGTGATTTTCCTCGTTCCTCCTTGCTCTCTATGCTCGTTCTCGATGGGCCGACTTCCTCGTTGCGTCTATTATTACACCTGTCTATCCGTCAGCTCGGCGGTCGCGAGCTGAATTCCAGTTTCACGCGGCTGCCCTCCTTCGAGCAGCCAGTAGTAGGCATGCCCGGTAGTAGGAGGAGACGAACGAGCCGGGAGAAGAGGGAAGCCAACTGGTTTTACTAACAATCCACCTGGACGACAGTCTCGGCCCGAAGACGTAGAATTCGTGGTGTCCGACTGGTTTGGCCAACATCCGAGGATTCTCTTTCGGCCAGCCGATAACCGAATCAACAACAACAACAACGAGACATCGAACCTGCTAGTCTGGATCTGGCCAGACCCGCAACGCTTGGATCTGTCGTCCTACCTCGACGGCCTTCCTGATCCCCTGCGTTCTCGTTCTTCCGCCCGGACGTCGCGTAACCTGACTTGCCAGGCAAAAATGCGGCTCCCATTTCCTGTTCGGCCAACTTCTTCTTCTTCTTCTTCTTCTTCTCCTCCATACCAGCGGCCGGTTCGACGGCTTCCTTCCTCCGTCGCTGGCGATTCGGCTTCTTTAGCGTTTTGGATGATAGAGTCGGTGAAAAAAGAACGTGTTTCGGTGTACCAGTCTGTGGCGGGAGCTTTTCACTCTCGCCTACCAACCTGCTCGCCTGTTTTCCCCGTCTGTCTGTCTGTCTACCTTCGACGCCGGTTTATTACACCTGTCTATCAGAGCCGCGACCGCGAAACCGTTTCCAGTTTGACGTGCTTGTAGCCGGTTCAAATGAATGGAGAGGCGAACCAGCTGGTCCCACTGATTGCACGTTGCGCAATCGAACCGCGACGAGGAGGCAATGTTTCAGCGAATTAACAGCTTCTTTGCTCCTCTCTATGTTCCGCTTTCGTTTACGAATAATAGCAGCGAATTTCGAGTATATCTCTAATGGAGACCCCATTCTTTCTCTTCTTCCAGTTCGTTTGATTCGCAGGTCATCCAACGACCGATCCTCTTCTTACCGTTAACGACGTGCCATACAACGCTCAGCAGCCTGTGATACGCAAAACCCTTTGAATAGAATTCGTACGCGTAGACGTAGTACACGGTTAACAGACCGTTTAACCAGCAGAAAATCCTCGATCGAAGATCGTTCGAGGAAAGAAGGAGGAAGATCGAGGAAGATCGAGGAAAAGGGAGCAACAAACCACGCCACGATACGACGAGGAAAGAGAAGTGGAAGACAGCGCGGGAGAATGTCGACTTGCACCGACGAGGCCGACAACGGACCCCTGCACATGCAGGAGGCTCTGTCCCCGGTTAGTCAAATCTTTATCCTAATCTTTTATTTTATAATACAGATTCTCGGGCAGGGTATACTTTTCAAATAATCGTTTCACGTTCCCTCGAGAAATTCCTCTGCAGAGGATAAACGTGAATAACTCGGTGGGATTTCGAAAATTTCTCGGTCTTCCCTCGAAAGGGGATCGGTGATTAACGACGCCGTGACTCTCGCGTCCACGCCCCCTTTCGATTTCGACAATTCACGGAATGCAATCGTACTTCATGGCCAACGTTTCGTGCAGGTCATCCGTTGACCTTCCTCTCTTTCTTTTCCATTCGCCTCCGAACACAGTACCACCCGTTGCGCCGTGTAACGAGAATGGCGAACCGAAGAGATTATTGCCCGGTTGCGTTGTTCCAGCATGGAACTTCTGGATGGACGGCCCTGAAACGCCAGGGCGGCAGCGTTGATGAACGAGCGTTCATCAATGCAAAGATTGAAGATCTCTTGTCAGTCTTTCGCGACCGAAAAGCAGAGATGATTCTTTTTTTTTTTCCTTTTTTTTTAGTTTCTTTTTTATCGATATACCCGGCCGATTGGGCGCGTTTATTTTCGTTTCTGTTTACTTTGGCCGGTGCTAAACGCTCGAGGAATTTAGCTGGAAGAGAGGCGAGCCGTTTTAGGCATTCGTTGACCCCTGCCGCTCACGTGTTGTGTTAATGATGAATCTTTGAAGAGCGAAAAGTGTGCGTCATCGAGCATCAGTAACGCTCTCGCCAATTCTTTTTCATACAATTTTCGAGACTTTTCTGAAGCGTTTGAAATCCTTTATTCGCTACTCCATGGTTATCGAATCGTAAATGTTTTTTCATTTATTATCCCGAGTGTGTTCAAAGTTTCGTTTCTCTGTAACACGAAACCTGTAAACGGATTCCAATAGTTTATCGGGCCGGCTGATGTGTATATCGTTTCCAAACGACCGATCCTCGAGTCGAGGAAGCCTGAAAAGATTTTTACTGTCACCCAGCCGCAGGTTTTTAACCTCACAATGGTATACCTGTCGCTTAAAAGTGAAACGCTGCCGGAGGAAAGGCCGTTATTTGCGTGGCGTTGCTCCACAATGGGAAATGGTCCCCCTAAGAATCTTATGGGCCGTCGCAACGTCACCGGCTCGAATTCTATTACAGCTGATTTTCTTCGCTTTCAATCCTATGATACAATTTACAATATCATTCTATAAATCCACAGTCTTTTTCAACTGTTTCTTTTTTCTTTTATTAAAAATCGACCAGTTAACTCTTTAGTGAAACCAAAGTTATCCTTATTTTTAATCAATAATACAATAACGCGATGGAGTGAATTTTCCATCGACGAGAATCCTTAAGGAACGGCGACCTTCTTTTATCCTCGAGTATAGCCAATGGTGGTCAAGCGAAGAAAGAAAGGAGGAAGAGAATTTCGCTGCGTGCGATGACTCGCCTGATCTCGCTCTTTCGAAAAGGACGCTCGATCCTGCTGTTCATTATCGAAGTAATCCGACAAGATTTACTTAATAGAATCCCAAAGCGAGCCTCAACTTTGTTTCTTTATTAAATTTCTCGATGCACCGCGACGGGGTCATCAGCGAAGAATTATCCTTTCCTCGACGTCCTTTTGTGAGCCCGCTTCTGCGTACTCATCGTCGAACTGATTTTAATCGAGACGGGATTATTCCACTTAATGGAATATTTTTTGTATCAAAATTTACCGTTCCTTTTTTACTTTCTATAGTTTCTCGAGTAATTTTCTGTTTATAGGTGTAAAATAATTAAATATAAATTTTCATTATCTGTTGATTTTCTGAATTTACGAAGCGCGATTTATAGACGTGATAACTCAGACTGTTTTCTGGATAATAATCATTCTCTATTTCTAACAAAATCTGTCACCTTCGTTACAGGTGAATATAAAAATATTGATATCCTCAGTTTTCTTAAAGTACTATTTGAAGATGAAAAATTTCAACCATTCTGATTAGCATATAATATAACGAATCACCAAAAATGTTTACTAAAAAAGAAGAGTGAAATAAATGATGAAGGTATAATGATACGATCGTCAACGAGGCGTTCCTAGCAATTCTATTTACCTCGTCATGCCAGCGGGCATATTCGTGATGGCTGTTTGCAAAAAGGAAAAGAAATGGAGAAAAAAACGTATCACGAGAAATCAGACAGATATTTCCATGATTGCTGCGACTCTAAATAGCGACAGGAAGTCGCCAAGCGTAAACGCATGGACGTAACTAATGACAGTAATTTATTTTGGGTCATAGGCGTGCCACTTTCGCTATTCAGTGAAACTTGACACGAATTCTTCGCCAGCTATTAAGCAATTATGAACAATTACACGGAATGTTCGAAAACTGTGCAAATAATTCAGGTTAAATTCCTTCGAGCATACAATTTTTCATCGAAGTGCCGATCTCTAACGACTCTTACGTTAATCAACGTCTTTCTATAAATGGCAATTATCCACCGTGTCAGCGAACGTGTTAACGCGCTTTAAAAAGAAAGCAAAATAAAAAAACGGCAGGATCGGGGTAAAAATTCTCGAAACGATCGCGCGGTGATGCCGCAATAACAGAAACGATGACAGCTGTTCCCCGGTCAAAGCGAGATGCCCTAACAGAGCCGATATAACAAGGATCCTTTAGCAAAAACGTTTGGCGATCTTGTTGAAGCTCGGTAAAGCAACACGAGAAACGTTTCAGAGTCGAGGAGCGGCGAGGGAGGGCAACAGACAATGAAGCTTCTTCGGCTCGACCGTGGCTAGAAGACGTTGTTCGAGCAACGCATCGCGAAACACCGATCGAACAGGGGAAAGAAGAAACGAAAGAAAAGCCCTTAACGATTCCGCGTATCCTGGCAGCCTCACAGCTGCGTATTCGAACGACGTGATCGGCAATAAGCACGCGCTCGCGACCGGTAAGAAACGACATGGACGAAGCAGCACCGGTCGTGTATCCGGTCCGCTTCGGCCGACAGACGCGTCTGCAGCGCGTCCGCCGATCTTGGACTCGAGTCTCTCACGGGCCGCAGGCCAACAGGCCAATTAACTGTTATTATCACGGCCGGTTCTTGCCTGTAAACAGAGCTACCGGGCCTAGAAGACGCGAGCAATCCGTGCCATCCGTTTCCGATCCTTCGAAACTCTGCTTTTTCACGTTGGAAACGAACCGATCGAATATCCACCGCGAAGAAATAAACGTTTCGAAATATACAAAATAAGCGTTGACGATCAACCTTGTCACCAGATGGATAACAAATTGAAAATCAATTAAAACGAAAGAGGAAGAGGTTAATGGAGGAAGCTGAGGTAACGGACAAGGTCGAACGACACCGTTCACGAATATAAGCGCTATCGCGTAGCCCGATTACGTAATCGTCCACCTTGACAGCGATACTAGATTGAATCTATGGTACAAGGACGTCGTTCGAATCGTGTACTACAAGTTATTTCATAAATCCCGAGATAACATCCTGCAGAAGCACTACGAAATCGTGAAATATGTATATCCGTGCGAAGAGTACGTAACGAACGTGGACCAACTCCCTCTGTCTTGCTCGATCGCACGCTTTCGTTTCGTGTCGCTTGCCAAGCGCGCGTGTGTGAAACCTGAAAAAGTAATGGATCCCGTTCCAGGGATCCGTGAATCAATGCCGGCACCGAGGATCGTGATAAATTTCCCTCGCTGTGCGATTAGATTTCGAATGAAGTTGGTACATTGGCGAGGATTGGCACTTAACGTCGTGTCGCGACCACGGGAGGCTTCGTTATCGAGCCGATTAACCGCGCGAAGTGATAAGTTTTACTAAAGAAAATTCTCCCTTTTTTTCTCCTGCAAACAGCTGCTGATCTATCTTGTCCTTGCGACTCGATGCAATATTAAAATGATCGGTGTCTTCCGGTGTCGAACACGATACGCGTTCCTGTTACATCGCGTAACAATTTCACAGCTGGTTTCATTTCGAAACGAAGGTATAGATTGGAAAATTGATTTTTTCCATTTGTACAAATCATTATCGGAAGATGAAAGTGTAAGGAGGGCAAAGGGATGATTCTGCAGGATCGACTTAGAAAGTGGACGTGATCCTTTGATCTTTGCTATCACCGTAAAATGTCGCTGGAATAATTATTGCGAAGCACAGTGGCTTCGACCCAACTGGTCTCGGATTAAACGAATTTTTCTCGTGTACGATATGATTAGTATTCGAAAATGCTAAGCCAGTAGTTGCAACACGCGGCAACGGTAGGACGCGAATCGTGTTTGATAAAAGTATAAATATTATCTGCGTAATGGAGCAGCTAGATTATGTATAAAACTGAGAAGATTCTGTTGGACAGTTATCGTGGAAGTTTAGAGATCGCGTTACAGCTTACTAATTAGTCGAAATGTTACAGCGTAGGATCTCTCGACCGTTTTACAGCAAACTCGTCGAATATTATGTAATTGCTTAATTATGTAAGATCGTAATCTAAAGTCGATGTTCATCCCGAACTTTCACAACACCGTCCGTCGCTTTTTTAACTGTCGTCCGTTGGAAAAGAATTCGCAAAAGTGTTCGTAGAAACGAGCTGTATTATTAGTCGTCGGTCGGGTTCGAGGAACCTGTAGCCCTCTTGAAAACACGCTCGTCGGTTTACCCTCGTCAACGGATCCGTTCAAAGAATCGCGAGCGATTACTGAATCGCCACCCTCAATAGCCGCGTCTCTTGTTCTCGAGAACGCCCTTGAAATCTCGAGCTCCCTTCTTCAACCCCTTTGTGCCCGTCGAAATTTCATACTAGCTGAGTCTAGTGGAAATACGACGAACTCGTTTGAAAGAATCTCAAAGTGTGAACAGTGTCAACCTTTCCCACAGACTTAATAGAATATCCGATACTATTCTCGGCAATCATCGACCTTCTAGAAAAATTAATAAAATTCTTTCTTTCGAAAGGTACAAGAGGGGCCAGTGTCTCCGGCGTCCTCCTCCCTGAGCAACCAAAATCAAAACGAGAATGAACAACAAGTGTTACTTGCCACGATGCAGCCGGTGAACGTGTTGGACCTGCACGAACCATCGGCGGTCCACTCCCTCCACCCTAAATACCATCATCATCACCACCGTCATCATCACCATCATCACCATCATCATCATCAACAGCAACACATCCAAGGAGATCCGGACGACGTGCAGCAACGTGGCGGCGACGACACGGACGGTAGGGTGACGCCTGGCGGGGATGCATCGGCTGCCAATTCGACGCTGGGCGTCGGAGAGCACAAAATGATCGATCTGATATACAACGACGGTCAGAAGACCGTCATGTACACCCACGACAAAGAGATCATCTACGAGAACGAAGCTGACAGGGTGCAGGTGGTCGAGTATCCTCCACCGCCACCCTCGCCACCCTCGCCGACTACACCGTCTTCGGTCAGCAGAGCCGCGTTGCTACCCCCGAGCTGCGTCACCCCACGATCCGGATCGACCACCACGGCTCTACACCTGCACCACTATCCTCAGCTTCAGCTCCAACACGAGGACGATCTACCGCCGGGTGTACGGCACGCTGTGAACGCCACTGTGCCGAATTGTGCTGCTGCCACCACCACTACCACGGTGCTGGTGCTGTCGGAGTTGGTAGCCGCCGACCCAGCGGCAGGGGCCGCGGCTGCGCAACAACTCACCCTCACCGCCGCCGCCGCTGCTGCTTCTCTTCGTGCAGGGCAAGTTTTCTTTAATGATTTCACTTTAAGGGTGGCTTTGTGGTGGAGGGTTTTCTTAAGACAACGTTCACCCATTTCACGATCTTCGACGTGTCAACTTCTCGAAGGATACAAATATCCCTTTCATATTTATTATTCCCTATTTATTCATTACACGCGTGAAAATTTACTCGGCATTAAATTATCACCTCTGTCGCTATCCACTTGAATTTATTACTCTCCGAACGCTTGGGAACGTTGTCGAATTATACGGAATTGCTTCAGAGATACGAAATCTGCGCTGAAACGGTGGACAAAGGTCGATTTGACCTTTTTCCAAACAAGCCGCGATATCACGCTGAACATTCACGAAACACAGCGTCCTTTGGACGGGAAAGAGCATGAAAAATAGTTTGCAAAAAAGATTTTCTTCCAATCGAAAACACCATGACACTCGAAAATTGGCGACTGGACGGAAAAACACGCGGTTGAAATGATTGTCCAGAGGAAGAAAGATACGTTAACGAGCAGAAAGCGCGCAAAATGGGAACGGTCGCGTGCAACCGAATGGAAAAATAAAATTCCCTGGCTGATGGAGGCACGGGGCGGTGTCGGGTACGAATCATGACACGCCGAAGAAAATCGTATCGCGCCTTAATAAGCCGTAAAGTATCCGCGAAAAGCGTGTGCACGCGGACAGTAGCCTGCTCGGTGGAACGGAAAAGTCGACGTCGCGAGCACGTTGAAACGCGAGGCGCGGTGCGGAGCGGTACGCGCCGCGCTATCGGGACCGTGTATCAGCGCCGACAATTAACAATTATTGCGCACACCTACCCGCGAGCGACTCGGATAAGTCACGTTGCTGCGTAGAATTTATTATTACGACGTGGTGAGAGAGATGGAAAGAAAAAGAGCGCCATGTGTCCTACAAGGACGTCGCGCATTACCGATCGCTCTACCTTCGGTTTTGATTATTCCTCTTAACACCGTAAGCCAGGTTTGAAGTTTCGTCAAAATTACTACGTTCTCATTAAAATTACAAATGAAACGTGTCAAAGCGAAGACCACTGCCCGCTGTGAGTATCAGAGAAGTTATCATGGCAGCCGGACTTGTTAAATCGAGCCTCTTCCTTTTTGCAGATTAAATGCAAATTAAATTGCCCCTTTCTCTTCGATTGCTTTTATTCTGCCCTTAAACCTCGGTAACTTCTAACGCTATTTATAGGCTGTTTAATCCGGCGCGTCCATTATCGAAATAAGAGAACGCCGTGATGCCTATGATTTTTCAACGCGCCACACTTCAAACCAGTCGCTTCAACTTCACGCGTCTTCGTTATCAAACGTGGCAGAAGTAACCGGTCATGTCGGAAATGCAATTAAGATCAAGATCTTCTAATTTGTAACATTTCCATATCGCCTTAGTATCTGAATTGATCGTCGAATGAAACGCGGCTAAACAGACGTTCCCTGAAAATACTTGAACCGTGTGCCGAGCTATGCGTGTTCGTCCAACCGTGAGATAATGAATAATCAAAAAGAGAAAAAATCAGGGGAAAAAATGAGGAAAGAAATTCAAAGATCGTGGCAACGTCACGCAAGGATATCAGGAATGAAAACAATTCATATTGTCGGTTCTCCTTTAAACCGAGAAATCATTTTTTCTTAGGTTCAAGTGTCTCTTCCCTATTGGCACCTAGGATTCGTCCTGAAGGTCGGCGACGCAGGGGTCTTGAGCTCTGATATACATATGTAAATAAACGTATTACCAATGGCTATTAAACGCACCCATACTGCGCGGTTCTCACCTTTGCAATGAATATAAAAATCCGCGGCAATTAATCGTTAAAATATGCAAGTCAAGACCTTGGGGGCCTCGAAAACAAGCGTGTCTTTCATTCCCCGCTTCTCTCGTATATTTTTCGTTTCTTTCGTCCGATTATTATAAATCGAGATGTTTGCTGAGGGAATCTGCGCAGAATCTTCGGTGTTCGTTTTCCTTTTGCCGCTTTTTCGGTTCTTTGTGGTCGCCTCTTCTTTTTCGAGCACATCGTCTCGAGGAAACGTAGCCCCTTCGTGGTGTTATTTCGACGAAGAACGAGAAGTGGACCACATCGATAGAGGTTCCTTCGGTGATACTCGAAAATTCGAGCTTCCTTTCACTTTAAGGTGACGTGGTTCTTCGTTTCATTCTCGTAGCTCGAAACAAGAACGATTCTTTTGGAAATCTTACGGTATATTATTTATAATATATGCTCTACAATTCGACGATAAGAGCCAAGGGTACTTTGTGTATAATAATCGATCATCGAGAGTTGTTATTGCTGTTATAAATTTACGACTTTCTGTCGCTGAGAGCTGCTGTTAGCGTCATAAATCATAAAAACATGACATTCGTACGACGATGGTTAGCAATCAGATTCTGTTCTCACATTCCAAATACATACCGTGCTATCGTAATGTATTTTTTCTCGTTAACGAAAAAGAAAAGCGATAAAACTTCTCCGTTTATCAAATGTATAAACGTATAAAATTACAATTTATTCATTTGAAGAAATTGTTCGATCATTGGTAAAGGGTATCGTTAATCAGATTAAAATCAGCTAAAAGCTCGATCGAAAGTCGTGGCTGTCACGAGCAGGAATCGTCTCTGGATCCCGTGTAAGCTACTTATTCCACGGCTTTAAGCACGCGAAATACGAAGCGGATCTTCGTCTCGAAACGACAGATAATCCGCTATTCCCGCTCGTAGAAAGATACTGACGACGAGAACAAGCGAGATGTTAATTCGTCCGTCGACCTTCGTTCTCCCTATGAAGCGCCATCGACTTCTCTCTCTGCAATTTTCGCCATTTTGTTCTCATCTTTGTTGTTTAATTAATCGTTGAAATTCATTTAATAATCCTGCGATTCTGTTCTGTGATAATATACTTCTCACGTTGAAATCTTCAACAACGAAAGGGTTAAAAGAACGCTTAAGAAGTGTGGGCAGAGGGAGGCAAGAAAATGGCCTCCGTTTAATAAATCCGCCAGGATGGAAGGCGCGATCGAGAGAGCGAGACCGCTCGAAGGGGCGCGCTCGTGATCTACGTTAACGCGGCGGAGGTGGGTACCTGTAATAATAGTGTTTTTGAGGATGTGACGTCACGCGCGAACAATACAAGCGCGAGGCAAACTGTGCACAAGCTTTCGGCCGATTATTTATTTGACAGACCTTCCCGCGGGCCGTGGCTGCGTTTACGACCAGCCCGCAACGCTTCGTCTTCGGATTCGCAACGGATTGCTCGCGCCTGCCCTCCTTCCTTCGTCCCTGATGCGATATTATGCAACGTGTACTTATTTCTTCTCAACTTCGAAAAACGACGAGCCTACCACTTCCAAAATGAGATTCACAACTCCTAAAATCAATTTATCGAAACAATTGAAATTCCCCATATTTGTGACATCAATCATCCTCAACTTCTCTCTCCCTCCCACCCGTTCCCTTATTCCCTGGAAAGCAGAAGCAGTAGCCCGTTGATTCGGCAGCAAAAAGGGGCACCGATCAAGCGAGCAGAGGTCATCGAACGATTCGCCGTGGCTCATAAATCGCAGGGAGCCAGTGTGTTCGGAAGCGTAATCGCGAAATGGGGAGAGAGGGGTCCATCCCGGAGTCAGGCTGGGCCGAAAATTTTCGGATTACCGCGGGCCGAGTTTCGTATGCGCGGCAAATTGCCGTAATGACGGTGCACCGTAAAAAGGTCCGCGTTCGCGGAAAGCAGAATGTTCGCCGGACGTATTCCCCTACCCTTTTGGTGAACTCGCCATGCGTCGCGTCCGTTCGCGTTGCTGCTCGCAGCACCCGCTTCTTGCGGCCGCTTCGGTGGTGCCTTTGATCCGGTCGTGTTTTCAACCTCCCCCCCCCGCCGGCCCTTGTATACATATATGCGCGGTTCTCGACTTTTTGCCGCTTCCGGGGACGAGAGACTTGAAAAGGGGAACAATGTAGAGAAGAAACGATTATGTCGTGCTGGTTCATCGATCGATAAAATCGACACGGAGGGGATGGGGGATCGAGAACGAGCGACTTCGACGCTCGCAAAAGGAACACGACCTGAATCGACTGGGTAGCTGGTCAAAAATAACGAGAGCTGAATCTCCGTTGGTTTTCTCATGGTAGATGCTCAGTTTGATGGAGTGTAGAATTTTGAATCTACCTTGATAATTTCAATATAATTATGTAAGGATCGGAGGTGCTAAAGATCTGGTAAGAGGATCAAGGTGCAATATGTAATTTAGAGATTATTGGAAGAAGTAATCAGCTTATGAGGTTCCGGATTCGGGCAATACGTGAGGTAGATTTTTCATTCTACCTTGATTTTTGGGGGGGATAATTAGGACACTTTAAAGAAAATGAAGATGTAGTATGTAATTTAAGGATTATGAGAAGAGATGATCAGCTTATGGAATCTCAAACATAGAATTTTCGTTCTACTTTAATTACTTTGTGATGATTATAAGAAAATTGCTTGTGCAATGAAATAGTCACCGCAACTTATAATTAATGAATGTTATTTGAAGCAAATTGACAATAAATCAGGTATTTGTTTCCTCCAACAATCTGCAGAAAAAAGAGCGAAGCATCTCATGAAGTTCAATGAGTCTCAATGTTTAATTAAAGAGAAAAAAAGAAGAGGTAGATTGCTCATATTTTTTTTTCTCACCGCGCTCTAGGCGATACTTCGATTAACTTCTCAATTATTCCTAATAACATATTCGTCTCGCGATTCTCTATTCTCTTTTTTTTTCACCCGTGATTTAAACGTCTACGTTCGTCTTATTATGCCCGGCACTTTATTGGCCGTTCGCGTTTCTTCCATCCAACTCGCTTAGATATTAAAACCACTCGGTTAACCGGTAAAAACGATCACACTAAAGTGTTGCTGCTCCGCATGCACATAAATTATGGCAATTACTAGCGAATAAACGCGGCTAAACGGTAATTACAACCATTCCTTCGTTCTGTTTCGAAGCGTAACGCAACC